CAAACACAGAAATTCAGTACTAATTTTATCTGATTAAGTGTGTTATGGATAGTGGTGGCATTCAGCCAGTTCACACCACTTCGGCAGAACTGATAGCTAATTTTTTGTTGCCCAGGTCCAGAATGGACTTCTGGAAGCGGCATCCACACAGAGAACCGATTATTCACATATTTGAATCCCACCACTGGTTATGGATCACACATGAATCTAAAGCGATGTTTTTCAACTTGAGTAACTTTGAGATTTGTGGATTTCAACATGCTGGTTGGAGAATTCTGGGTATTGAAATCCACACTTCTTAGCTGCAGAGGTTGAGAAACACTAACCTAAAATTATAAAATCCAGATCAAGTTTTACCAAATCATATTCTGTTTAAAGAGTATTGTTCCAGAAATCAATCAGTCTGAAAAATGCTTCTAGCTCTTCATGATTTGTGACTTTAGTTGTTCTGGCTAGGCTGGAAAAAAAAAAGCTGCAGCCCTAGAAGCTCAAGTCACTACTGCTCTCTGGACAAAGTGACCTTGACTTAAGAAATCTAACCTAAATCTCTAATTTTAGAGATACTTTCTCTACTTAGTTGGCTGCTTTACCACTCAGTCACATTTGTACACTGGCAAGTAAGCCTCAGTGACTTCTTACTCATTGGGACTTACTTTCAAGTTAACAGTGCATAGAGTTACATACAGAAGTAATAATGTTGTCTAAATGGCTAGCCCTATCTTGCATCAGTGTAAAATGACTTGTGACACAATTATAAGGCCCTTACGCCAGTGATTCCTCTCCCTTAGTCCTCAGCTATATCTGAGCCCTGATATATTATAGGTAACCCTTGCCTAGTGACCCCAATTGCAACTCAGTCATTAAGTGAAGCAGCTGCTAAGTGAAAACATGACTATGCTTATGATCTTACTTCAGCTTTTCTTTGCTTTACAGACCTGTAAAGATTGTAAATGGAGGGATTAGTCTCAAAGTTACTTTTTCATCATCCTCGTAACTGCAAACAGTTGCTGTATGAGGCGGTCGCTAAATCTGGACTACCTGAACAATTACCCCCACCCCCGCCCCGTGACATGCTTAAGCATTTTGCTCAGGGAGCAAACCTGGAGCTGTGCTTTCAACAAATCATAACTTTTCCCAGGTGAATAAGTAATGGAGAATATCAGCAGATCAGCTTTTCAGCTCCTTGCTTGTAATCATGGCTCTCATTCTAGTTTATAGCTCCACCACTTCATGAATTTATAAACAGGGCAAGAAGAGAAACAATAACCTAGAGGCAAAGAGATCCACTCCCACTCAACTTACACAGTCCACAAATGTATGTCCATTTATTATATGTCTATTGGTTTGCAAAGTATTCACTAGGGCAATCTGTTACATGGATGAGTACAACAGACAGACTCCTTTTGCTGAGCAGCCACAAATGATGCTGGAGATGAGCATAGTTGGTAAAGTGTATTATCTATGAATCTTGCAAGTGACATGAGGATGCTGGGTTTCTTGCTGACTTGGCACTGTTCCTTGGTTTATCTGTATGCCTGGCTGGGAGAAACCTGAGCTGGGGATAGCAGAGGGGAAGTAGGACATGTCAGTCGATGTGTTCAATTTCAAAAGAGCCACAGATCTGCAAGAACCGTTGCTCACAGTAGCAAAAACGAGAGAAGATGAACACGCTCTCCTTTTCAAAGATACAAAGGATGCACAACATCTAAGATTTAACTGAGGGATATTATTCTTGTGTAGACAGAGATGTCCAATTCCTTATAGGATTCGCTGTCTAAGTTGCTCCAAGGTTACAGTAATGTAATAATTTAAAGTAGAGGTATAGCCTGAGACTCATAGGCAGTCCCAACAGCCTCCGTCTCCAAATGTTACTACAAATTCCCAGTGTTGAATGTCTTAAAGAAAATGGTGATTAAACACAGGACTAACCCCTGTGCAACTGTGATTAATCTCATTTAGAGTTGAATAAAATTATTTAAAAATAGTTTTTGTCTGGCTCCACTTGTTTCTTTGTTCTCACAATATTTTTTAAGGGTATGCCACTCAACACAAAGCGCAACCCCCCGGCCTGAAAAAGTTGCTGTCTTAGTGTTGCACAGCATCGAATGTAGTTGCTTTGAGGAAAAAGCTCTATTTTGTATTTTGAATATCGTAAGCAGCTCTGAGCTAAAACAAAACGAAAATTCAAGTTCACCTCAGGTGCTTGTAAAAATAGGATATCGTGACCTTATTTTATGGCGAAACAAAACTTCACCTTTATGATCATTCTTTCAATTTAGGGCAACCAGTCTTTCATAAATGATTAATAGATGTTTATTTTTAATCATATAAAAGACTGACCTCTTTTCCTGATCATTAGAATTATTTTTCAGCCTCCCGTCTTGCTTCTGAAATATTTATTTATTAATAAAATTTATATGACTGCCCATCTCACAGAAAGTGACTCTGGGCTACACCCAACAATCTAATATTATCATAGAACATAGAATAATAGGGTTGGAAGGGACCTTAGAGGTCTTTTAGCCCAACCTCCTGCTCAAGCAGGAGACCCTATATACCATTCAGGACAAATGGTTGTCTGGTGTCTTCTTGAAAACCTCCAGTGATGGAGAACCTCAGCTTCCTCAGGTAAGCTGTTTTACTGATTAATTGTTCTCACTGTCAAGAAACTTCTTCTTAGTTCTAGCCTGAATCTCTCTTTAATGGTCTTCCACCCCTTACTTCTTTTCCTGCCCTCAGGTGCTTTGGAGAATAGGTCAACCCCTTCTTCTTTGTGATAGCCCATTAAGTCTTGGAAGACTGCTATCATATCACACATGATCCTTCTCTTCGTCAGACTAGCTGTATCTGGCTCCCTCAATTGTTCACCTTATGCCATAGCTTCCAGGCCCTTATCATCTCTGTTGCTCTTCTTTGTATTCTTTCTAGGGTCTCAACATCTTTTTCCTATTGTGGTGAACAGAACTGGACACATTATTCCAAGTGTGATCTTGCCAATGCAGTATCACTTCATTGTACTATCACTTCATGTGATTTTGATACTATCCCTCTGTTGATGCAACCTAGTATTGCATTATCATTTTGGCAGCTGGAGCCCACTGCCGGCTCATACTTAAGTGGCGGTCTCTTAGGACACCTAGATCCCTCTCACAGTTGCTACCATTGAGCCAGGTATCACCTATTCTGTAAGTGTGCATTTGGTTTTTCTTGCCTGTGTGTAGGACCTTATGTTTCTCAGCACTGAATTGTATTTTGTTGAGTAAGGCCCAGTGTTTCAGTTTGTCAAAGTTCTTCTGAAGCTTGAGCCTATCATCTAAAATGTTGGCATTTCCCCCCAGTTTAGTGTCCTCTGAAAATTTGATGAGTTTCCCTTCTGTTCCCCCATCTAGGCCATTTATGAAGATGTTGAAAAGTACTGCGCCTAAGACAGAATTTTCAGGTACCCACTACATGCTTCCCTCTATGTAGATAGTTTCAATGAGGACCTACTGCTGAATATGGTTGTGTTATCCATTGTTGATTTTTTAAATTGTTGTTAATAAGGTTGGTTATCAGGCATGATAGCACTTCACAAACATCAGAGTTCAATGGCTAACATTTTTTTTTAGAAAAGAAACAATGGAGATGAATGCCTTTTGTTCCTCCGTAGAGTTTCTGAATTATTCATATTTACAAGCATGGGATTCTACTTTGTGGTTTATATGAGTTGGGGGAAAGGGGGAGTAAACAATGGTGGAGGGGGTGAATGATATATATGTGGCTGGAGATTTGGTAAATGTAGATTTATTTGTACAAGTAGATTCAACAGTTACAGAAAAAAGGAGGCAGAATTGCCAAATGTTAGTGGCAGGAATAAAGTCAGAGAGATGTCTGCATAATGCAGTTAAAAAAAAAGTAGTGGCCACAATAGTACAATCCAGTCTCAACCTGTTGTATGTGCCATCTGTGCAATGCTTATAAAAACAAAGCAGGGCTTCAATCGCACCATCGCAACCACCATTTTGACTTTTTGGAAAATACTCCTGAATGATTTGCTTGAAGTAACTTTTATTTCAAGGAGCTCAAGGGAGACTAGCCAAGCAGGGCCAGTGGAATCAAGGCAGTGATTGGGACATACAGAGTCATTTGAAAGACGATCAATCAGGACTGAAAGCAGCAGCAAGGAACAGACTTCTTGAAAACCACAGAACCATACACTTCAGCAAGCAGCAAATCCAATATGTCAACTGATAAACTTCAGCTTCCCTTCAGCCATGTGCAAAATTCCTGTTCCTGGCCAAAGCAAACTTTTAAGAAGCTTCCAGATTAGCACTGTGCTATCCACCTCTGATTTACGGAGCATCAGTCTTACTCTATTTCCTTCCTAAGCTGAAAGGATTTCATGGCTCCATTCCTTATTTAACAGTCTCCTCTTACCAAAGTTCTCAGGCGGAGAATTTGATGTGATAAATTACTTCCTTCTCCTGCTTAGGATGGCAAAACTCTTATTCTGAAAGGATTTCTTTCTTAAAGTTCCAGTTTCCTTTTTTTTCAATACTTGCTCAATTTTGCCTATTCAAAAATAAAGTCCTTTCCTTTCTGCACCCTATTCACAAGCCCTCCTCACCTACAGAAGACTTTGGTTGCCAGCATATGCTGTCTTGCTAATTTTTTCTTAATGCAAAGACATTATCACTTACCTGGTCACATTTATGTGGGATGCTGTCTTATCCCAGCACTAAGTCTGGCTCTGTAACAGTATATTTGCAAAGATAATTTTTTGTATGGTCAGGAGAACCCATATTCTTAAGATGATCAAACTGCAACTACATTGCAAGATGTTTGGGTTTGGATAAATAATTAGCTGCATGAGGCCCCAACCACTCCAAATTATAATGACACAATCAAAATATAGTCTGCCACTTCAGACAGAAATAGATAAGCATGGAAGTCTTAATCTGAAAAGCAGGAAGATGATTGAAAGCATGTTGCTTATATGTCTCAGTCATCAATAAAAAAATGCACACATTTGGTCATCTTTATTGTTTTAATCCAAAGAGGAAAGGTTAAGCAAAGATATGAATAGTTTGCTTGACTCTCCATCTGGTTTGGTGTCCAGTATCAGGTCCATCTGGAAGTTGGCACATCTCACTGGTAGGCACGATGTTTGAGGTCACTTCACTTTCTGGAATATCTGGACACAAACCTCATTCTCTGCTGTCATGCGCTAAAAGAGAAAAGGTCAATCAAGAAGCAAGAAGTACAGTTATACTTGAATCCTTAGAGAACATTGTCATCTGCCAGCCAACAAATAGGTTCAGTTTGTTTTTTATTTGTACCTAGCACAAAAACAATTGCCATCAATAGAAATACAACAGAAATTTCAGTGTGAACATCTCTACTTTGCACCTTCCAAACCTACAGACAACCTTATATGTGCACTTCTTCATTCATTCAGAGTTGTCCAGATATACAATTCTGTATGCATATATTAAAGGGAAATGCTGAAAACAACAGCCCAAGCTACATTTCATCAGAAAAAAAGAGTTTACTTTTAAAAACTGTTTGTACTGCTCAAAATAGATACATTCAGAAAAAATGGACACATTCACAAAGAGACTTTGAAGCACAAGGCTGTTGTGTCAGATACTGGGGAAAGGGGATGATACGCGGCAAACTTCAAAGGCCTACAAAAAGATTTGTTGTGGATACTTTTAGTAACTGGCTGCTTTCAAATCAACAAAAGTAATCTAGTTCTCCTAAAACAAGATACCAGGGACAAGGGGAAAGAGTCAACCAAATGACGTTTCTGTTGTATGTGTCTTGTGCTGAGTTTCCACTCTGCTTGGGGCCCCTACTTGCCTTTGAAAGTAGCTACTTGACCTAAACTAGTTGATTCAACTAGATAAGGCAAACCTGTTGCCCCTCCACCACCATCAGCAGGAGAGACAATCCAGTAGGAAGTTGAGCAGCTCAACATTCATTGAAGAAAAGAAGAATTCTGTAAGCGAATTCATGCCCATTCGCTTTAATTTCAAAGGAAAACTTCTGAGGTGGATTTGTCCCCCTCCATCACGGTCTTAAGTACTTTACTGTTTCTTTCAGAAGGTATGATCCGAGGATTTGTACTATAGTGCAGGAACAGCTTGTTTCAATCAGGAATGCCACAGGGGGGGGGGGAGGATCCTGGAGCAAGCCCATACCTACCAGAGCCGGCTTATTGCACAAGTTTGCTTTCTTCTATAGATAAGGGGCATAAAACCACGAAGTTCAGAGACTAAAATTACTTAGACTCTTAGATGGCAGCATTAGAGCAGTGTTTCTCAGCCTTAGCAACTTTAAGACATGTGGACTTCAACTCCCAGAATTCCCCAGCCAGCTGAAAAGTGCAAGTGAATTTTCACCTAACTGTCCCCTGGTGGAAGTCAACAATTGGTTGTGCTTGGATTTATTTAATCTTTTCTAACTTTCTAGCTTTTAGAGAGTACCAGAGAGCTGAAGAACACTGAAGAATTGTAGATAGGGAATTCAGTCCATTCTGAGACTGAAGAGAATGCCTTATTTAGTGCTCTTATTATTACCCTAATATTTCATTATTAAAGATGTGGCTTCTTAATTAAGTTAGCATTATTGTAAATTACGCTTGTAAATTAGTGTGTTATTTAAAAATGCAAAAAGCATTACTTAAGCATTTTTAAGAAAAGAATGCTTAAGACTGGCTATTGGGTGGGGAGATTGGGGGAGAGGGATGTTTACCTTATACAACCAATAATCTGTTTTCTCACAGTCTCATCAAATTACCCCTGACTTTCAAGGCATTGCTGGAAATTTGTGGCACACTTTTCAGTAAGACTGGGCTATCTCTCAGAATATACTAGAACCCACTTTTTCTCTGCACAATCATCACAATTCAGTTTTTCTTCCCAGCTTTTCAGTGTATTTATTCAGCCCAGATGTCAGCATTCCCTACATACTTGACCCAGCAGCCTGTGTTAGAGGGGAAAGCCATGAACTGCAGAGAGAGAGGACACCGCTCGGAAAGGCGCGTAAAGCCCATCTCTGCCAAACTGCCATTGGAACCATTTACCTGAGGGCAGCTGCAAATAACATGTTGTTTACTAGCACTAAGGCTAAAATTCTGAGTGTCAGGCACCGGGATGCTCTGCTTTGATTTCCGCTCCTTCCCTGATGCCCCAGGAGCCGCGATCAAATTTCAAAAAAGAGTGCTGGACAATGGGTGGCTCCCTTGCTCAGCCGACTGAACTTTTGAACTCTTGGGAAGGATGTTTTTGTCAAGAGGCCATTGCCTCCCTGAGGAAGCACACAGAAGTTGGCCGAACTCTTGGTTTTTCTGAGCTGGAAGTGGGGAAGAAGACCCATTCTGTGCTTTTGAAAATGGGAGCAGAAGTAGAAAAAATTGATTAGGGACCCCCCTCCTCCTCCTTACCAGATGCAGTTGATCCCCTTCTAACCAGTGCCTCCAGCCCCGGTTCTGTTTCTCTCCTCTCTGTTCACACACCAGTTGATCTCCATCCCAGTAAACAGTTGTCTGAAAGCAGCGGGAGTGAGCAAGGGGGGGTGGAGAGAGAGAAAAGAGAAAGGGGCAATGACATCACTTAAAATAGGAAAGGGCCTTCTGTTGGAAACAAGACAGAACATGCCGTAAAATAAAAGCAGCTCAGTGTAATGCAGGCCCTGTTCAAGCAGCCATCCAGGACACCAAGGGAAAGTCTTAACTGCGTTGTTTTGTTACAGACAGAAATGGGAATGAAGATATGCCTGAAAGTCTTATGTGTGCAAATCCCCATGAGAACTGTTCTGCCTAAACCTCAATAGATGCAGACCCCAAATAAACTGCCTTTCTACTTCATGACTAAAGCTTACACATGACAGAATTTAAGTTTCCAAACATCTGCCTTCATAACTGTTGTGATTCCCCCCCCCCTCAGGGCATGCTGATTTCCCCAGAACTGAGCCTGTTAAGAAAAATTTAGGGCAAAAAAATAATGCAAAAGAAAGCCATTGTTCCAGAGGAGGGGAGAGAAGTCTTAATCCTCTCTTCCATCTTCAATCGTAAGCTTTATTTTGAAATAAGGACCCTAGAGTCTGACACCAATCCAAGACAAGGGATTGTAATTCCACACACCCCCAATTCTTTAACCAAGAAAAACAAAACAAAATAAAGGCAATGCCCTTCTCTAAATCCATGCTACAGTGAAAATCTTTAGTTTAGGTACAGCTACAAAATATTATCACAACTTTTGACACTCAGAGCCAGCACAGCAATATAATTAAATTGTAGACCCTCTGGGCCCTGGGATCCCAGCCTGGGGAAGGCTGATCTATGGAAAGAGAAGTACAGTATGTGCTGAATGTGGGTTACAGCTGATGTGCAACCTATCCCACTAACACTGAGACTTTTTCTTCTGATTTGAAAACAGCCAAAGCTGGGTATGAAGTTTAGCTCTTAGCCAGAAAATAGTAGACATACTAACAATACTCACTGCTAACCTTTCCAAGGTTCAAAGTCACATATATGGGTTAATCATTTTTAAAATTCAAATTTTATTTCTTAGTTCAGCCATTCATTTTTTCTGAACGCTGTCAGCAATCTGAAGAAACAGTGGCTAACTTCCAGTGTTGTTGAAGATTGTCATAATAATTTTAGGCACTTTAAATATTTGACACATTTTATTTAAACCCTAAAATATATGTAGGGTTTTTTCATTGTCCTTTCCCTTGCCTTGTAACTTCCTTTCAAGAAAGTTTTCTTAAGGCAATACAGTATGCTTAGCTTATGCAAACTGGCTGAGAATGATGGGAACTGTAATGCCATGCATTTTAAAGATGGCTAGGCTGGCTTAGCTGACGAATAGTTTATCTATCTCCCATTTATGAAAATGATTTCATTTATGAAAATGAATGAAATGATTTATTCACAAAATAAATTAAAGTATTCCTTAAGCTGTAGCAGTGTGCCTGGCTCTACCTCTAAAACTACTCAAACTACTAGTCTGAATTCAATCCAGAGTTATCAGAATTTTAATACATTTCCTGTTTGTTGCTTGCCTGATATTGCAGAAAGAAAGGGACGTTATTAAGTGTCTGTTACAACATGCATTTTACCACCAGTCAGAAGTTTTGCCAGCTAAAATGGAGCTTATTTTACATAATGGATAAGCTCTAGCTTGCATTTAAAAACTTGTCCAAATTATTTCATCATGTGAACAGTTTATCACGAGGGATTTGTAGGTCTTGGGAACAGGAAATTTTGCAACCAGCATAGAGACTGCTCATAAGAATAGTTTTAAGAGTCCTGGTGTAAGCTGACTACTCATAAAATTGGGTTAGTTGTATAAATAAGACTGAATTAATGTGTGAATTAACTCCCTCTTGCTTGCTTGGAAATTGGCAGAAAATCAGCTTCTGAAGAACTTTGTTGATCCCATTCAACTCTGGATCAAGAATCTGAATGTTAACAATGTGTTTCTTCTACAGGGAAGCTCTTTCTTACAGAAAGGGACTGACCCAGTTTCTACTTGCATTTCACCAAAGCCTTTGTCTCTTACCTGGCACTTGCGTCCATCTACTGGCCCCAGATCCTCTTCAAACTCAACCCCAAGGTCAAAGTCCATGACATAGTTTCGCAGAGAAGTTATGGTGCGAACAGTCATATGGTCACCAGTGTGAATGATCTCCTTGTCTGGCTTCAGGAGACAAACCAGCTTCCTCAGGGCCACATTGATATCTAACCAGGAGATTACAAGAACAAAAGTGAAATAAATGAAGAATGCTGCCTGTGAACCCCAAAGGCGGTGGGAATAAACAACAAGGAACAATGCATGAAACCAGGTCCCCTGTATGCATTACCTCAGTTCTTCCTCATTTTGGCCAAGTAATAAAGGAAGATGAAAACAAGAATGCAACTCTCCTAGTTTAACTTACGTCTTCCCTCCCTCCCCCCACCAATCCAAGGCAGCAAATATAGTAAAAGACACACATGCCAGTGTGAATCAAAGACAAACCATTCTTTTAACCCAATTGTTTAAATAACCGTGTCTTTTCTCACCAAGCTGCCCTAAAAAAACAGAGCACTGACTAAATGCCTGAGCTACAAATCAGGAAATCCCCATTTAAATCTCCCTTCTGCCAGGAATTAATTTGGAGGCCTCCAGGCACATTTCTCTCTCCCGTCTACCTGTATAAATACAGCAGTTTTGAAAGTGCTGTGTTCCTTGAAGATCACAATGAGCACATAATACAAATTGATATTGATTATAAATTGCTGGGGAAGGGTAAGATTTCCATGAATCAGGCACTGCTCCTGGTGATGATGTAGACTCAGCCCAGGAATTTTCTTGATAAAATGGAAGTGGTTTGCCAAGGCATTTCAGCTTCAGTGTATTCTGTCAGCTCTGCTCCTCCCTGGTGCTTTGCCATCCAAGTTCTGGCCAGGAGCAATCTCTGTTTAGCTGTTCTGAAATCGGGCAAGGTGGACTAGCTTGGTGCCACCAAGAAAACTCCTAGGAAGACCAGAGTATCATAACCTTTTAGGGGTGAAGAGAGATCCTGGAGTTTAACTCTGCCCAGATTACTGACATCCGAGGGTTGGCACAGTTACCCTAAAGCCAGGGGTAGGCAACCTTGGCTCTTTTATGACTCGTGGACTTCAACTCCCAGAATTCCTGAGCCAGCCATGCTGAGGAGAAATGGAGATGTTTCCAAGCTGAGCCATGCTGGCTCAGGAATTCTGGGAGTTGAAGTCCACGAGTCATAAAAGAGCCAAGGTTGCCTACCCCTGCGCCTAAACCAACCATGTGGAGCTGAAAAAGGCGCTCTGGGCGCCCACCAGTCCCACCAGCATTCACCACCACCGTCGCAAACTGAAGGGGAGCGATTTGGCGGCCGGGAGAGGGAAGCAACAAAACGGAGGGAGAGGAAGGCTTTGCTTACCCAAGGCACGGAGGTAATTCTCCATATTGTCCTGAGACACGAAGCGGTAGTAGCCGCTAAGATTGGGAGGCATCCCAGCGCAAGAGGAGGACGAAGGCACGGAAAAGAAAACGGGAGGAAGGCTCGCCGAGAGGAAAGAAGGAAGAAAGGAAGGAAGGAAGGAAGGAAGGAAAGGAAGGAAGGAAGGACGGGGAGAAAAGAGGCGGCAGCTGATACAGCTGAAGAGAGCCCGCTAGCCGCCGCGTTGCTGAGTCCGCCGCTTCGACTTCTTTCCCCGCCCGTCCCCCGGCCTTTTATGTAGCGCCGCGGGAGTGTGGAGTCCCGCCGCCCTAAGAGTCACTCCGCTCCAGTCCGCGCGGGCGGGGGGAGCCGCGAGCGGAGCCTTTGCGTTTCGCTTTTCTCCTTCTCCTTTTCTCCCGATTATTATCAGGAGGAAAAATGAAAAATAAAAAAACCAGAAATACGACGACTTTTGCAAATCGCCAATCGCTCCACTCTTTTTTTTTTATCAAAGCGCAAGTTAATCAGGGTCCGGGCTGCTTCCTACGTGGATAGGGGACCACTCGTAAATCCCAAAGCTATGTGAGAAGGGTACGTTGAACAGTCAAGGCATCCCGGTCAAGGCCAAAAACTGCTTCCGTGCTCTTCCCAAGAAAACTGCCTTGATGTTTCCACGAAGTCACCAGCCGCTGAGCTTGACTGGAAGACTGCTCTACTTACGAGCAGCAGGCAGAAATTTCTAACTATTTCAATAGTCCCGTATAGAGCGACAGCAGTTACCACTGTTGCCTCCTGCTCACTTCCTCTTTCCAAATAATTGTCTGCCTAAGGGCACCTACGGGTTCGCATCCATGCCGTTGAGCAACCCTGTCTGTGCAGTTAGCAATAGTTCACTGTGCTATGCGATCCCACCAATTCAGTCATCTCTGATTTGAACCCACACGGGTCATCTGCACATTGTGAAGACACAGCCAGAGAGTTTAATGACAGTTTAATGCCAGGCACGAGGAGAAGCGGTTGCTCACTTGAGATAACCCCTACCCAGGCTTGGTCACTGCAAACATCAAAATGGCTTCCCAGTTTTCGAGGAGTGATATGGCACGTGAGGCTTTTCCCCAGAAGCCCCGCAAATCTTTGTGGCTACTTCTAGATGGCTGGCGGGAGAAGTTGTCCTGAAGAGGGAGAGGCACTCTGCTCCTTCCCAAACTGGAGTAAACCAGAGCATTTCTTCGTGGTTTTTGGAAAGAATTCTGAAACTGGGTTCCATAGCTGACTTTACCTCTCTCAAATTTATACACTGTATTTTAAAATCGTTATAAGGTATCGCATGCATTTATAGGGCAACCCCGAATACACTCTAGTAAAGGCAGCCCATCTCTGTGGGAGAGTGAAAATAAAAAGAGAGAGTGGCTCAACTCTGTGTATTGAACTTACAGCCAAGAGAAAACTGTTCTGCTCACGGCCAAATCGCAGCTCTCTTAGGTTACCCAAGAAAGCAACCCCCCTCCAGCAAAATTAGCACCTTCTTCGGGCTGATTTACACATGCATATGCACATCCGTTGAGGGATTTGTGTGTGAATGAATCACAGGGATGCAACTTACCGCAGACAATAGTTCTGCGAATTATTCAGAGTCAAATTTCAATCACCCTTCCAGTCATCCCAGCTTGTACGTGCCTGTGGGGAAATTACTCTTTGCCTTGGAGTGACTGGCTCGTCTCCAAAGCCAACTGAAGTCTGGTCTACGCACTGATACAGGCATCTGGTTTACCAACTGAAGGGAACATAGACTGCAAATGGGAGTTTGTATGAGAAGGATCATCACAGACAGGAAGGTTTATTTCACGGGGGTGGGGGGTGGGGTGGGGAAGAGGGCTGCCCACATCACACGGTAAGATGTCAGCCTGGGAACATTCATGCGTGAACCAACATTTGCTCCGTACTCCCCATCACAGCAAGAGAGCTGCGGACACCTGGAGGTCTTACCGCGAACTTTCTCACGCCACTGTCTGATCCTAAAGCAGTTTAAGAGAGATGCGTCTGTGGCCAGCCCAACCTAGAGTAGATCGCGGTGGAGGGGGGGGGGGCAGATCTCCCTTCCAGCAGCGTCCTTTGGATTTCAACTTGTGGTGCGCGAACTGGGCGTGCGTTTCTTTTCCCTGACTCCTCCAGTTCCCTGCTAGCAAATCAGAGGGAAAAACGGGGATGGGGAAGCGGAGGGGGAAAAGACCCCTCATGTCCAGCTGCAAGCCCCTCTAAAGTTCCTTGTTCTATCTGCCTGCACGCGGGGGGGGCGCTCGCGTGTATGCACGTGCCCCGCCCTCCTCCCCCTCCCACAGCAAAAGAAAACCCTCCCTCCCTTCTGGCCTTCCCACGCCCCCCACCCCTACCCCTAAGTCTCGGTCCCCTCCCTCTCCTGCAGCACCTGGCTGGGGCGCCCCTCGTATTGGCTGCGAGGGCCCATCAATCAGCGTCGGGCGCTGCTGACATCATGCTGCAGTACAGAGGCTGGGCCGGACCCGAGAAAGGAGGCGTCCGGGAGCTCCAGCTGGCGCCCCGTCCCGGACAGTGCCTCGACAGGCGAGCCCTGGGTCTGGGTGGGAGCAGCTCGTAGCGACAGCCGTCAAGGCACTCTCCTTCGGCGAGCGAGACCCAGCCTCTCCCGGCCACGAAGCGGTATTTGCCAGGCTTTTCTAAAATGGGCTGGGGGATGCCCCTCGCCTCCGCCCCTCTCCTCCTCCTCCTGGTCTCCTGCGCCCTCGGCAACAAAGGTGAGCGAGTCGAGGCGCCCGGACTCCCCAAGGAGAGGGCTGGGCTGGGCTGGGTGGGTGTGTGGCTGGGAAGCTCTTTGAGCGCCCTCCGTGCCTCTCCCGTCTGGTCAAAGCTGGAGCGCAGCTCTTTCTCCTGCCTTCTAATCCATCCCATCTATTCCCCGGGAATGCTGAGAGCGGGTGGAGAAATAGGGCTTGGAGCTAAACGTGGGGCTTCTTTGCTTTTGCTATTTTGCTCCGCTGGATCTTCTCACCTGCTTCCTTCTGTAGCATCAGATCCCTTCCCCCCCCCCCCTTTCCTGCTTTGTTTCCTCGGATTGCAGGCCAACCCACCTCTACACCTCCTGTTTATCTCTCCCCTACGTTCATTTTCCGCCTGTCATTTATCATACGCCCAGCAATTCCCAGGTCTCCTTCTGTGTTCCAGTCTCTTAGGATCAAAAACGTGATGAAGCTGCTTTTGCTACCTCCTCTGTTTCTAGGCTAGTTGCCATCTTCTCTTCCTTGCAGCCTTAGGGGTCTTGGTTGGTTTGTCAGTCCATCTAGTTCATTACTGCAAAATCTACTAATTTCAAGCAAAGGATAGGGAAACCATGAATGCATTTATAAATGGGTGAACTGCTGAACAGGGGGCTGCTCGTCTACGGAAGCTTCAGTATTCTGAACACGAACGCAGGACAATATATCCGCACGCATATATCTGTGTGCCTGAAAATGAGAGAGATGGGTAGGTTGATCAAGGCTTACAGGTCTTCACACCAGAACAAGAGTTGTTAGAAATAGTGTTGCGTGGAAACTAAAGGAAGGGGCTGAAGCTAGGTCCTGCATATTTTGGGGGAGATTGAGTCATCTTTCAGCACCAGCTTGCAGCAAAGGAAGGAGATGGAGTGTGAAAAAGCATTTGATTCCTATTACGGTGGCTGGCTTTCTTCCTTAAACATTGGCATGGGGAGGGGGAGGGCAATGCAGCAGCATTAGGATTCAGTGCGCTTGTTGGTTCTGCAGATACAGTAGAGTGGAGTTTCTCTCCCCGGTACTCAATCCTCAGTGCACGTAGCCACTGAGGGTTGACTTGGCCTTGTGGCCTTTGAGAAATCATCAAACCAGGGCTCTTCAGGTGGCTGGTGGTAGGAACAGCAGAGGTTTTATTCTCCCTTCACCAGCTCATTGTCCTTACACGGCAATCATCCCCCTTTTCCGTGCTTGAAGCAAGGGCCGTGGTGGGGCCAGAGCTTGGTGTTACAAGGGTACCGAAGAGGGGACAGGTGATATACGTAAGATACCAGCTTAGAGACATACTGTACTTGGGAGAGAAGTGAACTAGAATGCAACTTGGGCTGGATTATTTATTTGTTTAAATATGGCAGCTCTGAAAACAACCTGGCGAGATGAATACCCCAGTTTACATTCTTCTGCCATAACCCCACATCTTCAGATTCTGTGCTGCAGTATAGCATTTTTTAAAAAAGCTCTCGTGTTCTGATTCACCTTATTTTCCACTCTTCCAGTTTTGGTTGGCTGCAAAGATATACCAGGGCTTTAAAGTCTCTAACTGAAGCCCTTTCTAGACATCTTTTCAATTCAATTCAATACCATCTGATGAACCAAAGTGCTTCAAAAGAACTTCCTGGCTAAATTAAACCACCTAGTCCCACAACCTCTTTTGAAACTGGCTAATTGGAAGCCTCTGGAGACTAACAGGCAGAACCTGAAGACGATGTTTTGCGCCTGTTCTTTGTCTCCACTACTGTTCTCCTCTAGGCCTTCTCTTGGCTGTTTAGCGCTAATTGTTACTGAGAGGAATGGATTTGCCTAAGCCAGTTCAAAAGCCACTGGAGCCAGTAGCCATGGCTGTTATCTTGGTGTTAATACTACATCTGTTACGTGTTATTTCTCTGTGTCCTGTGAGAGATTTTCATTTTCTGACCAGTGCTTGTGATGCTGTGTTCTAATACTAGACAAAATATATTTTTGACTACATGGTTCTTGCTGGTCCACATGCTACCTCAAAGTAAACTTTGGCTTTACTTCTCCTGCAAGAATCTGCTTGCATTTCTTGCTAAATAACCCTTCAAGAAATTACCAAGGATAAAACAGCAGCAAATAATCTTGGAACTGGCACAGAGTACCATGAGATACATCAAAGTACTTGAGCTGGAAAAAACCAAATGGCATTTCCTTCATGCTAAACACTGACCAGCCTGCCGGGAAGATTAACCATATAAACCCTCCATGTTCTTACTTAAAGCAGATGACTGCTGTGCTTCCACTTTGACCTCTTTAAGTCCTTTTTCTGAGATGGTTTGCTCACCTTGCAGGGTCAGTTCTAATGATGTCACCTGAAATATTCTCATGGAGCTAGCTTCCAGCTGTTTGATTTGCCACTGACACTCATGACCTTCAGAGATGGGTCTGATGCTTTATCTAAAGTTCCTAATGATCTCGTATGGAAAAATGTCCTTAAATTCTGAACGTCCCTAAAGTAGTCATAGGATTGCTCAGTCATGAATGAATGGA